TGTGTTCTAAGGTGCAATTAAAACCCAGGAGGGCATGGAGCTACCTGCATGCCCTCCTGGGTGAAGGTGAAGGTGATTTTAAATTATGCCTTTCAGTTTTGCAAAAGCAAGATTGATCATTGTTTTTATGGCGCTCGCTGCAAAATAAATACGTGTACCAAATCCAGAAATTGCAGCCCAAATTACACCTCAGCTCTCTGCGTTTCAAAACGATTTGGAACATTTCAGGGAACGGGAGACGAACGCTCCTTTTCTCTTCTCACGCTCACACCACGCTGTAATTTCTCTCTGGTTTTTAAATTTAGCACAACTGAAACTGTCCGATTACTCTTGCGGCCGCATTTTGTTGTATCAGTGTTGGATGGATGGAATGAGTGGGTGAAGCAGGACTGACATCAAGCTCTAGAGGATAGTAGTAGATATAAAAAAAACAAAAAAAATGTTTTAAGACTGAGGTCAAGATTGCTGTTACGTTAGCTCAGACTCAATTTGTTTCATTGTTGTCAGGGTTCCACGATTTTGCGCTGTTTCTGAGTTTTTAATCCTTAGTTAATATTACCTTCGTTGAGTTTCTGTTCCTGTTTTTTTCTGTGTGAAGGATTTTTCTCTGGTTCACTTTCTAGTTTTACTTCTTCGGCTTCTAGCTCTGCTACACGTGGAAGGCCTATAAGACTCCACAGAGGACAGACAGGCTGGCACTTCTGTATAAATTGCTGGGTTGTGTATGATGTGTGTTATTTTATCCTTCATTGTCTCACCCAAAAACCACGGATGGATGGATGGATGGTGATCAAAACCATAAAGATGAAGATCTGATTTGGTTTAGAGGGATATGTGCATCAGACAGCAGCCGCTGATTATCACTTTTATTCTGAAGGTGGTGTGTATGCCTGGTAGAGATGTGCTGCCATGAGCAAGACAGGAATGGGTTGTCCTAACTTCCTCCCCTCCGGTCACGGCAGATGGCATTCCCTCCCTGAGCCTGCTGCAGGTTTCTTCCTGTAAAAAGGGAGTTTTTCCTTCCCACTGTCGCCAAGTGCTTACTGATAGGTGGTCGTTTGTTTGTTGGAGTTTTCTCTGTATTACTGTAGGGTCTTTACCTTACAATATAAAGTGCCTTGAGGCGACTGTGAGTGTTAGTCAGTCCAGGATGTACAACAGCCTCTAATATCAGCTTATACAGGCTCCAGTGCATCTAGTACATGACTGAAAAGATGGAAGTTACTGGTGCAAGAATTGATCCAACACCAACAGCTCTAAAGGTGGAGTCTTTCCATTCAAGCCCTCTGTGAATGGCTTCATGCAGTGTTGATTAAGGCTTTCAGCACTTAGTAAATGTCTCTTTACTCCTCCTGAGTTTAAGCGTGAAGCGAAGCACTGGTGGACCAATGTGATGCATCACCTTAACATGTAACGTAGCTGAAAAGAGTCCAGATAAACTTTTTAGAGGAAAGATTAAAGTCTGACAAAGTGAGCTATTGACCGCAAAGACATTTTCTTGTTAGAACTGAGTTCCCTAATGTTTGTGGAAATGCTCCCACAGCCAGAAGGTGGAGACAAAATTTCCACTCTGCTGATTTCATGCTTAATTCAGAGTTTACCCACTTTACTGTTGGCATAAAGTTAATAAATGTTTATTTGTTTATTTTTGCTTTTAAGTATTTTAACAGTGCATTATGCTGTATAAAAATAAATGTGAAATGAGTCTGTTTTGAGTAATTTAATAACGGTTTCTCTTGGTCATGACTCAGTTTATACAACTATTCACTGTGGCAGTGGAGAAAATCCCACCTGAACCCTGAACAAAGTAACAGGATGTGTGATTAAGCCAAATAATACCTCACTGTTTTTTTTCTTACAAATTCAGTGACAGTAGCTAATCTCCTGACAAAAATGTTATCAGAGTCTTTTGGGGAAAAATATTTAAAATATCTAATCAGGTAACAGTTTATTACATAATCTTCTTATGAGAACAAGAAGATAGGAAAGCTATCGACTGCAAAAAAAAAATAAAAATCTGCCAAATCAAAGACTTGGATTTATGGGAGCAGCTACAACTGCTTTTAACATATTATTATTATTGTTGTTGTTGTTGTTGTTGTTGTTGTTGTTGTTATTATTATCAAAAGAAGCGGTATGACTGTCCATACCCCCTCACCCACCCACCCACCCACCCACCCAAAGAAAAAGCCAGAAACAAGCATGCACCAGCATATGCTTCATATCCCAAAAGTTTTATCAGTGTCGCAATAGCTTCAAACAGGACTGAGCCCCTGCTCTCCTCCGCGATGTGATAATCCTCCGCATAACCCGTTGCACCGTCACATCCTATTCTACTCACGCAATCGGGTCTGAAAAGACCTCTGATTGGCTCCTTCACAGACTCCATGTGCGTGGAGTTGGGTTCTCTCCTGAAATTCGTGAATGGCAATATGCTGAAAGGTTGTTTTGATTTCTTGTCCGGTGACAGCAAAACTGTGTTGCCTTCTCCAGCTGTAAGATTTTTAAAGGTTTTACTAAGAAACTTGTGAATTGGGATAAATTGCTAAGTATGAATCATGCCTGCCTGCCTTTTGTTGTGCTTTAAGTCATTTGTCCACATTGATGCATCAATAATTGTTATTAGATAATATTATATTAGATGTTATATATGCAAGCATTTGTATCTACATTAATTACATTTAACTGATAAATCTATTGCATGCTTAAATAACTAAGAATTTTAAATAGTTAGTTTAAAATTCTGGCAATTTTAACTGGCATATCCGATATGTTTGAAACCACAGGCAGCTACAACAGACACTGTAGTGGGACATTGTAACAAAGAGGCACCAGAAACATCTTGTCTATCTATGATTTATCAGCCTCTCTCTCCCAGGCTCCTCTCCTTTATCAGCCTGTCACTCTGCATCACTCTCCTGTCACTAGTTTTTCCTCTCCCTTATTCCTCCCTGTTCTGCTCGCCTTACAAGGCTCAAAGTGACTTCCAGGGCGGTGTTTCCTGGCCCTCTGTTGTTAATAAAGACTTGGAGCGCCAGCTGCAGTCTTGGCTGGTAGATGCTGAGGCCCCGGGGCACTGGGGAAACAACAGCGTGCTCTCAAAGCTCGACCAGATCTCCAAGTACATTTTAAGCGCTCACCAGTGACTTTCGGGGTCCTGCATCTCTCCTCAGATATCAGCTGGAAAATGCAAACTGGACACACCACAAAACAGTTGTTAGAGCAGGAACATGGCCAAGAAGCGTGTGTGTGTGATGGTCTGTTAGTTAATGTATGTTTCACTTGTGTCTGGTACGCATCAGGGTTTGATGATTAGTGTTTGAAGCTGAGTTTACATTGTATTGTTAATAAGAATAATTAGTCTTCCTATGCTCTACAAAGCCCCAGTTAGAGCAGATATGGCCCTTTAGTGGTGGACTTCCAGTGGGCAAGTTGCAGTTTTTCTTATTTCCATCTGCTTTCATTTACACCCAGTAAGAAAAAAAGAGCATATTAGAGCCCACAGGAGACCAGTAAATTCATCCACGGGGTTGCTTGCAGATCACCAGAGCTGGCCAGCTGCTGGTGATGACGGGCTACTTTCTAAGCGCTCTCATGGCTCTTGCCCTGCTTGCTGTAATGGGCCACATAAATAGCTAATTGTTAAATCCATCTCGGGGGTCGCAATACACGATGAGTAAGGAGGTGAATCTGCGAAACAGGCAGAATGAGAGCACGCCGTGACATCTAGGTATCGTGCTATGCTTTTGTAATATGAATCTCAGGGCCTATGGGCCATTTAGACAGCCTGACTGTCAGTTTCACTCTCACTCTCACTTTTTCCAGGAGGAAATAGTACAGACACACTCCATGTAATCATATAGTTGTTGAGTCTGAGAGGAAAGGCAACAGTGCCTATGAAGAGGTGTGCAACACTTAGTGTTGTTTTCCTCAGCTGACAGATTGAGGAGGGTAGTGGTTTGACCCGTAATCAGGGCCAAGTCCCAATTACTGCAGTCTTGCACTGTAGCCATTAGCTCACTGTCTCTGGAGACTCCAAATCTCATTTTAAGGGAATGACTCAGAAAAAGTGATTTATAATCGAATAAGATTCTCGAAGACAGCAGGGATTTTCGCTCTGCGTGCTAATCACCTTAGCCGAGTGACGATCTGCACTTTGTCTTTCCCAGCGAATGATCTCAGATCTCCTTAGCTGTCATGTTTTACGCTGGTCATTTAAGCAGCAATGAAGAATTTATTGTTACTTTAATATTGCTTAATGCGTGCATTGAACACAGAGGTAGAAAGATCGAAAAGTCAAGCAGCCTGTAAGAAATAATGATGCTGACTGCTGTCTAAAATATTCTAGTTTATACACACAAACAGTCCACAAGCGAGCACGTCCTCATCTCACACACTTCTCTTACTCGCTGCCTTTTTTGTTTTCAGACTAAAGAGCAACAGGACCAAGTACAGAATCAGAGCAATAAAGTCTTCCTCTACTGTGCCTTCTTGGACTACAGGTGGGTTTGTGTTCATGATTTCGACACAGAACTTCTGAATTATCCATTCAGATCCAGCTCCAAAGGGATTTTTATCTTGATTGTTCGCTCGTTGCATGCATTTCTTTCTCGAGTCTTTAAATCATAAGAAATCACTGGTGATTGGAAGAAGGTGGTGGGTTGTTTTGTTTCTTTTACTCTTTCAAATCAGAAACATCCAGTTTTACACGTGTCGCTGTTTCGGCTTCTTGAGCCACAGCCCTCAATGTAAAACAAAGGGAAAAAAAGCTGAAGCTCTGATATGCAGAGCCAAAACACTTTTTGCTAAGCTTAACTCATTTTTAAAAATAGGGAGTCCAATACGTTGGATTCAAACACGTCCTTCTCCTACTCCACTTTGCCCTGAAGCTTAAGAAAAATGTGAATAATTGGGTCGCCCTGTCAGATTGCACTAATAAAGTCAACTTAATCTCTGTGTGCCTCCCACGGGGGGGACATTGGATTACACTGAGTGCACCCTCTCAGCAGCGTTCCAGTAAAAAATTGCCCCGTCTGTTTCTCTGTATCCTGTTTGTTCTAGTTTTTTATGTTTGATCTTGCATTAGATACATTTCCTCTGCTAACAGCACCTAATTGTCATTCATTTCAGTTCTAAAGAGGGAGTATGGTCCAACAAAGGCTGCGTGCGCGCACATGGAAACATGACGTACTCCGTGTGTTTGTGCAACCACCTTACCAACTTCGCCATCCTCATGCAAGTTGTGCCCTTAAAGGTATGAATGTTCTGGCTGCTCTTCAAAAGTCTGAATATTAGGCAGCATTTGCAACAGATCTCATTTTTATTTTGTTGTTTTGAAGGAGTTCAACACAGTTTGATGTTTGTAGTCTTCAGCTTTGTATGTTTCTCCTATTTGTACTGAAGCTTCTAATCTCACCAGACTCCAGACTTTTATAAGCACGGCGCCTGGTAGCCAGTAACTCATTCTCCTATTTTTCTTGTTCAGTGGTGGTTTGCAAAGGAATTTTTGGTGGAATAACTGCAAGTAGTAGTGTTTTACATACTATCAGACTCCTGCAACAACAAAGGAAGATGTATATTTTAAGAAAACAATAAAACATTTTAAAATCATTTAACATTATTACAGTTTAATGGAAGACTGAGAAGTGAAAATGGAATCTTTGTAAAATATAATATTCAAGTGCAGACAGAGCCAGTGGCAGACACCTGGGTCAGGTGATGTGGAAGCCAGGCAACTTGGTCGGTGCACTCTGCAAGAAACTTTACAAGTGAATGCGCAGCATGAGTGAGTGAAAGGATGGAACCACTATATTACGCCATCCAACAAATCAGTTGGATTTAAAAGTGTAGACCTCTCACCAAGACACAAAATACGCTGGTTAGCTTGTAGAAGAGTAAGTAAACAGGAAGCAGTGGTTTACCAGTGCCTTCTTTATTTCTCTATCAAACCACTAGTTTCACTGGTGGTTTGATAGAGAAGCGCTTTGTGCAACCATGATTTGTGTGGTTGTTTTAGGTCACTGAATGGGTCAGTGGAGCATTCCTCAAAGTTATGGGCTCTCAAGGGGCTAATAAACAAAAATCTCTTTAAACCATCCTTCATTTATTTTTTTGTTTTCTCTTTTTCACGTTTACATCATCTGCACGTGGAGCACTTAAAAGCACAAAACCTGTGCATGATTTTTTCCTCTTATCTAACTCTTTTGCATCCAAGAATACGAACCCATGGGAGTATGGTTAGCATCCACAATGGCTTCTTAAAATAGAAAAAGCAGACTTCTTTTTTTTTT